TTTCATTACCTGACTAGGTAACATCATCAGTGCACACTGATGACGTTAACTAGTCAGCAATGAAATGTCGGCAAGCAAACGACCAAGCTCAGAGAGCACCAAGGACTCCGTACCAATTCCATCGAGCTGCTTGACGTCACAGCATATCCAGTCTATCCACAGTTTGAACATACTGTCAAAAATGTATACATATGTATATATATATTAAAAAGTGTGCTCCCCCATAACCAAAAGTTGCTCGTCCCTTGTTACAGAACGGGACACAACATGGTTGTGGATTACCTATAAATGACACTGAACTCATTTTCCCAGCTCTGCTTATACAAAACATAAAACATTTTTTTTCTTCTTTTTGCTCTCTCTCTATCATGCCCTCACAGAATCCACTATATGGACCAAGAACTCCAGATGTGTTTGTCTCTTACCAGGAGGTATAGGCTGTGCTGTCAGCTGTGTCAAGTATTTCTGCTCAATCTGTTTGAAAAGCTTAGTGGGGGGGCGTCCCCGTCGCCTTGGCTGCCCTAAAGGTTCAAGGGCCTTCTTGGAAATATCCTTGGCTCTGGAGCAAGTGCTGTGGACCCTGGAGCTGGAATGCAGTGGAGCAGAGGACAGTGGTGGCAGTGCTGGGCTAGAGGTGGAATAGCCATTCAGCTGTGGGAGGGAAAATTCAAAAAGCGTTTGCACTGAACACTGCCATGAGAAGCATAACAACACTTAAAAGTGGTGCAAGGATTCAGGGAAAAAGCTCAGCTAGTGATCTTTATTAATGGGCCTTAATTTATACTCATTTCAATGGAGATCAACACCAGAGAGGCACTGTTGAAAGACAAATGTTACTAAAACAAGAAAAGACATCTCTAAGATGGGGCAATGAGATCTGCAAGTGATGTTAAGTGGTAGCATTTCCAATGTGGTAGCCACCCACAAGACTAGCTGACTGCCAGATTCTTGTTATCTCCTACTGCTTTCTTTCCCCCCAAGTGAAGAATCACTTCTCCACTGATTTAAATAGATGGGAAAAGAAGCACAACTGCCAAAAAGTAGTAGGCTGGGTGTGGCAAAGTCTTCTGCCTATCAAAGAACCTTAGGATAACTGGATCCAAGACCAAGGATGAGCTTCTTCCACCCTTCAAATATTCTCTGGCAGCAACAGTCAATTTACTTAAATAATACAAACTGAGAGGAACATTTCAAACATGTGGTGGCTCACCACAGTCTCACAGCAGCCATTTTCAAAGAATCACAGCATTAGAGAATTGGAAGGGAACTCAGAGGACACAGAATCCAACCCCTTGATCAGTACAGGATCCTCTGCTGCATCTCTGACGGATGACCATATAGCCTCCATCTGAAGACCTCTGTGAAGGAGCACTCACCACCTCATGAAGTGAACACAGCCTATTCCACTGGCTGACAGCTCATAGATTCAGGAAGTTCCTCCTGATATTAGTCTGAACCTCCATCTATGTAATTTTAACCCACTGGTCTTGCCCTCTGGGGTAACAGAAAATAAGTCCTCTCCTGTTTAATAGCCCTTCAGATTTGTTGAGACTGCTATCAAATCTACCCCTCTCCCCTTTTCTGTAGGCTAAACATAGCCAGCTACTTTAAGGGTTCTCACAGGGCTTGGTTTTCAGGCCCTTTGCCATCAAGGTAGCCCTCCCCTGAACTTCCTCCAATTTGTCACTGTCCTTTTTGACCTGTGGTGTGCAGAACTGGACTCAGTACTTCACATGGGGTCTGACCCAGGCAGAGTAGAACAACTACCTTCTGTAATCTGGACTCTGCTTTTGTTAATGTACCCCAAGATAGTATTTGCCTCTTTAGCAGCTGCATCACATTGCTGGCTTATGTTTAACTTGTGTTCAACAAAGACACTCAGGCCTCTTTCACATGTACTACTGCCAAGCCAAGTCTCCCACATCCTATATTTGTGCCTTAAACTTTTCCTACTCATTTTGTCTTCTACTCAAGATATTAAAAAAAAAAAAAAGAAGCCAAATGTCTTCCTTGTTCCTCCTGCTCTAAAACTCATATTTAAATATTGATAAACGGAGTTGCTGGCAACACAGTTTCCTTCCGAATGCTGAATCTAGATCACCCCCTTTCAAATTCTAATTGGTTGCTTCACTGTGTCCATAGGGAATTATCCTGTTCTTTATGAACATAACAAAAAGTTGTTTCCTTCTGATATCATATGCATCTGAATACAATGGAAGCCACTTTCTCATCAGTGAAGTTTGTGTTGCTTTTCAGAAACAAAAAATCTAAATCAGAAATAAAAATCCCCTCTCCATTCTGCGTCTGCATAATCAAAAGCCACAGCTTTCCTAAGGAAGTGGTACTAATTACATGGTGCTAATACATGGTATCTAAACCCAGAAAGAGCCAAGCCTTTGCCTCAGAAATGAATAAGGTTTTACGTCCAATTCCTTCATCTCCAAAGTTAACAATTTCCTTCTGCTGATTCAGACCAGGTTAAAAGTGGAACCTGCATTTCCTAGTAAGGAGAAGCCTCTAGACAGCACTCACCTGCCGACCTGAGGTCTTTGACTGATCTCTGGTAGCTGGCTTGCAGAGCTGCGAAGTTCGAGAGGATTGTTCAGTGGAAGGACCAATTGAAGAGTCATTACATGGTGTCCTAGGCAGCAGATTGAACCAGGCCACCTGTGTTTCTGTGATACTTTCATCATCTGCTGTAGAGTCTGGCAGATCATCTGGGGGTAACTGATCCCCTTTGCCAGGGCTACTGTCTGGGGTGAGCACAGAGCTGTTAAACAATGAAGAGGCCTGCTGTGTCTGGCTGAGCCAAGATAGAAAGGCTGACTGACTGAGGTCATGCTGAGACTGGCCCAGGGACACAGGATCTTCCAAATACCCATTGACAGACAAGGGTGTGGGCTCTGGCAACTTGGATTCCAGGTGCTCTGGTGGCGACATGCCTACATTGCCTCTCCATGGCCAACTCCATGATCTTGAAGTTGTGCAGTTCATATAATCAGGATCTGAGGGTGTGCCAGTGTTCTCTTTTTTGATTGACAGTGCTTCATGTTCTTCCTCTTTCAGAGCCTCTCCCTTTTCCAATGAGTTCTTGGACACTGGGAGGGAGGCTGCTTGGGGAACAGCAAAACAGAGAAAGTTGGGTAAATTCCACCACTAGATGGTGCTCATACCTACTAAACTGAAAGATGTGACAGAATCTAGATGTCCCAGTGAAGCAACACAGTACACCACCAACAGTATCTATGCCACTTAAAGTACCCCAGGTCTCCAGGTACCAGATTCATGTTGCAAGGTAGATACCAGACTAGAAAAAGCAGAGGGTGTTCTAGAAGGAAAGAAATGGGGCAAACAAAATATTAAGTACCCTCTTCTTCCCATCACAAAGCACCCTCTCACGAATCTGTTTTCAACTGAGGGCACATTGGTCTAATAGTATATACAACCAAAGCCCAGAGGGCAATTTGTTCCACATATACTGTATTTCAGTGGTGGTGTTATTAAGGAAGGCACTGTAACACACTATTCTTTATTTTCTATTCTTCTGTCCTAAATGCCAGACTGACTTGTTACACTTCTTTAAATTTCTCCTACTAGTTCTTATCTATTGCCAATGGCAGCAATCCTGCTCCTTGTGGTCCTAGTAGTGAAGGTGTATTGTATACTGAAAGACACCACTGAGAAACCAAATGATGAGATCCAGAGAAACTTGTCTTCCTTTATAAGCAAAGAAAGATCCACCCACACCCACCTTCTATGATCTGCATACCTTCTGAGGCCTCACAACCTTCTATAAAGATCCCACCCAGATGAGGCAGGACCCAATACCGCCGTCGATACCGATCTTGCCCCAGTGATGATGCCCGTAACAATTGCGAGGAATGGAGCAGCTTCTTGCGAAAGAACATCTGGCGCTGCAGGAAAAATGAGAACACCAAGAGTGTAAAAAGGAAGGGTCATTGTGTTAAACTGTAATTACCAGAGAAAAGAGTAACACATTTACACCTATCACCTTAATGAGAAGCCCAAACATCCACTGCTACATCTAGGAGAAACTTCAACTATGCTATGCTATGCTATGCTATGCTATGCTATGCTATGCTATGCTATGCTATGCTATGCTATGCTATGCTATGCTATGCTATGCTATGCTATGCTATGCTATGCTATGCTATGCTATGCTATGCTATGCTATGCTATGCTATGCTATGCTATGCTATGCTATGCTATGCTATGCTATGCTATGCTATGCTATGCTATGCTATGCTATGCTATGCTATGCTATGCTATGCTATACATTTTTTCAACAGCAAGCATTTACCTTGGAAAGCTTTTCAATTTGCCTCTCTAGCTCTGGCACACTGGAAATCAAACTTTCATTCTGTGGAAGGAGGAGACAAGTTAGAACCAGATTCCTGACTACCTCCCCAAACAAGTTTTGTTTTGGAAACAATGCACCTCCCAAATGTGAAACACCAACTCTTTTGCCTCTCTTGGGAGCTGGAGTGTTTTCCATTAAAAGGCCAAGAGGGAAGTATGACACCTGTATTTGTTGATAGCTGTAACTCTTTAGGAAAATACAAATTCCACTTAAAGACAAAGAAGATGCAGAGAGTCCCCATAAGAACTTTAAAAAAGAACATTGTGCTGCTTACAATAGAACTCCTCAAACATTCTTCCTTAAAAAAAAACTTATACGTAGGGTTCCAGTTATTCAGTATTTGTTGTGTTAAGAGACTAACATAGTTCCATCCAAACCTGTTACTCGTTATTAGAGCAAAGATTCAGGAGCACATCATATTCCTCATTGACTCAATTGTGTCAAAACCTACTTCAGTATCTCTCCGGGCTTTGCATGCTCTTCTTTTTTCTTCTTCTTCTATTTCTTTATCCTCATTCTCCTCAATGATGCGGGAGCTCCGTCGCCATCGTCCTTCCTCCAAACCAGTAATTTCTGATTCAGGACGCCCAGTCCTCTTAGCTAGGGCAATCTTTAATCTTCAATGCAACAACAGGCACAGGAAGTATAAAGAAAGGGAAAGGGGACATATTGTTATATGCTAAGACTACAAGCTACTCAGGTGACCTATATAGTAAAGGGGAAGAACTGGGAAAAATGTTATTCCTAAGTCCTCTGGTAAATCAAATGTGGTGAAATATAAATCAGTAAAAACTGCAAGAGTCCTATGATCACAGTAAGATTCCATACTACTCTGATTTTCACATTAAATAAATTTGTGATCAGTATGTTTTGGATTCCTCTTATAGTCACTGCATTCCTATAGACAGAATACTTCCACAGTAGGTCAAAATTAATTCCACAGATACATACCGGCGTAGCTTCCCCTCAATGATCCATTTATTTCTTCTATGGTTGGACATGCTCTCTAGAGTCTTGTCAATTTCACTGCCAGATTTAGAAAGAAGCACAAGTTAGGGAAGTGAGGAGAACATATATCAGAGAAGAATGGTATTCCCTTTTTACCAACATCTGTGTGTAATACTCATTTCAAAAGACATCTGAAAGTACAATCTGGTTTACCACAAAGGAAATTCACCACTCCTTCCTTTAGGACAGATACACCCAGCTTATACAAGAGTAACAAGTTTTGGACCCTGCTCCCATCAATACTATTTTACTATTCTTTCCTAAGCTTGGGTATCAGTGGGAGCAATTCTACACTGGAAATACATTTTCTATCTGCCTCAAGAGAAAGGCATTGCAAGTACCCTCATAGGTTCTCCTGTGGACCAATATCCTGACATACAGCAGCCGGAATTCTTGTGGGCAGTACATATGTCTAAATCTGAGGTTGAAAAGCTGATGCCAAGGGCCATGTGTGCTTGCCCCTCCCACAGCCTTTGAGTGTGGCCACCATGGAGATTTCCAAAAGTTGTTACCCAATTGTAATGTTTTAACCTAATGTAAGACAGGAATTATTACATTCAGGTACTGCAAGCTGGTGCTAGAGCCACACTCCAAAGCTGCTTTTGGAGGCTGGATCTGATGTGTTGCGCTACCCTACTTGGCTCCCTTGCATGCTTTCCTCTTTCATCTCATTATATCAGAATGTTGAGACTTACACTCTATCCAATCACATATCAATATTAAAAGTTCAATGCTACATGTAAGATGACACATAAATCACACCTAGTTGTGAAAGACCCAACTGCAGAAAGCACCTAACCTGGCACCACTGACCTGATGATAAGGGTGCTGCTGTTGAGCTCGTTCACCAAGAAGGCTAGGATAGCAGCCTTTTTATCTGGGGGAAGTGCCTGGAAGGGTTTAGTTCTCAAGCTGTCACACAAGCTTTCATCTCCCCCATAGGCTATGAGGAAGCAGCGCAGGACCTCAGATACAGTGTCACGGTTCAGGCTTATTTCAGTGAGTTTTTCACCAAGGATCTTCAAAGTCTGGGAAGCAAAAGCAAAAAGAATAATAGTTTTCTTGTAAACGCAGACTTATCCTAATTCCTCCTATCAACAGCAGATAGAAATGAAGGACATTGAGTAAAAAGTGTTAAAAATAGTTATGTCCACTGTCACCTTTGCTGAAGAAGCAAGTTTTTATGTGATAACCAAACAAGCTTTTAAAAATTCAGCAATCCATATAATTTGTACTAGATTGCATTTTCTGCCATAATTGTAAAGTAGGGCAATGGTGAAAGGGGAAAAAAGAGATATTAACCTGGATTTTGTGAACTCTGCAGTTGTTATACTTTGTAGTACAAAGTCTGGTATAGGATAAACAGAGTCCAGCAGTCTGAAAATCCCAACTTTCTCTTTAAAAAACAAAATCTAAAACAAACTGTTTTGGCTGGAGAGACAGATGTGAAAATATGCAGACTGCACCTGGTAAAACCTCAAAACCAGTGGTGAGGTTGAAATAAATTTCCAAGTGGTCATAAAGGGAGTTGCATGCATAACATTCTCACTAAGTTACTAGAGACATATCAGAAATAAAAGGGGCAAATAATTATTTTTTGCACCATTCTACTTCTTGATTGTAGAATTGTTACTCTATTGCCTTTCTCCGCCACTTCTGCTCATGGCAGCAGACAAAATAGCTGTGACTGAATTAACATGAAGGAATATAAAAACTTGCAGCACAGTCCATCAAGCCTCCTTTTCTAGAATTCCTTCATAAAGGCATCCATGTTTCACTCTGCAACCTTGAAAACTAAAAAGAGGTTCACAAAACCTGTTACATGTCTTAGGAGTTCCCCTTGCAACAGAACTGTACCCATAAAGCAAGCAAGGGTCCCTGCAAAAGAGTGCAAATTTCTAGCATCCCTTTATTGTAATCCAGAATGTACATTACAAGCATACATTCTCCACTATGAAAGGCAAAAGAGTCTGACAAATGTTTGAACACTAGCCAGGGACTTCTTAACACCAACATTTAAAACATGCCTTTTCCCCCTTCAACTTGTACAGAACACTTTTTTTTTATTTTCTGCCCAAACTTGTCTATTGTGTCAGCTGGAAAAGGAAGCTTGGAACTCTGGGCTGCTGATAATAAGGAAAACAGGACAACAGCTTGCCAGGCCTCTGCAGCCCTTTGTTAGCTAATTCTTTTAGTACGGCACCTACCAAATATGTCTGTATGCCTACTAAGCTATAGCTTGTTTAATTGCGGTTTACTGAACACACCACAGCTAGCTAGGTTCACGTTATGCTGAACCATAAACTGTGCAAAGTGTAAGCCAGATAATCAATTCTGACTTTTGTTCTTAGCTTAGTCTGCCATAAAAACCAAATTATCAATACAAAAATATTCCCTGGACAGAAAGGGCTGTACTTATTTTGTAGGGCTGTGCAGCACTTTGGATTTGAAGAAAAAAATGCTTCGGAGCGTGCAGAGCACTTTTCCCCCTTTGAATCCAAAGCATTATACATAATCTTACTCTGTACTTGAGATTTAGGTCAGTTGGTCAATGCTAATGCATAGACCTTTTCCATGGATACCAACACAGGAGGATCTCTGTTAGCCTACAAGCCTGACTTCCTCTGTTGGCATTTGGTGACCAGCCATCTTAGTCCATATCCTATTAACAGAATGAACATTGAAATAAAGCTTCAGCCAACCCTGTATGTATGCTGCATTTCCATAGCAGAGCAAGAACCATTAGATGCAGCTTTCTCACACTCTTGGCTTTCCCTTATTTCTAACTTTTAGGACTTTGTATCTGCTTGAAAATGTGGCTGGAGTATTCTTAAGGCCTGAGGACTGGCTAAACAAGATGCTCAATATTTGAGTTATAGCTTCAGTTCTTTGCACAGTTCACCACCCTACCTGATGACAAAGGAGTTTACATGATAAATAAAATTAGTTTTGCAGGATTATGCAAAATAAGAAAATTATGCAATGTTGTTCCATTTTTCTTGATAAAGAATTCAGATTGTCTGAGGGTAGGGGACGCTGACAACACACACTCAGTCATACCTGACAGCATGGAGGAAGGCCAGGATCATACAATGCCACTTTCACCAGCTTTACCAGGAGATCCAGCACTTCACCCAAGCTATCTCCTACATTGAAGAGGCCTTCTTGGAGGGTACTCAGACTGGGAACTTCCCTGGCTACATCAAAGCCCAGCACCTTGCCATAGTTATGTAGGAATTCCACAATGGCTAAGCAATCTGAGAAGGCTTGGCTGGGCAAAACCAATCCAGGAATGCGAGAAAATTCTGGCAGGGGCTAGAGAAGATGGGGAAAAGGCAAAAATATTAATACAGTACAAAAGGGAAAGATGTGGCACAATACTCACATGTGTGCTATAAACTGACATAAATGGTAATTCTGGTTACTAGTTCCAGTGAGGTGGAGCTCAAGAGTATATACAGTGGTACCTCGGGATACGAACTTAATGCGTTCCGTGACTCTGGGCGTATCCCAA